ACAGCTCCGCGTGATAGTCGTGACGCGCGGGTGGCGACATCAAAAGCATTTGTCGACCACCCAGGTATGCCTCCAGGGATGAGGTATACCTGGGTGGTCGACAAATACCTTTGATGTCAACACCCGCGCGTCCAGGCGCGTCCAGACTGCTGCGCTGAGCCGACAAACAGCTAATGAGCTGTTTGTCGGCTGAGTGCGGCAGCCATGTAAATTTAAATGAAGCGGCATTTATTTAAATCACCGCTTCATTTTCCTATGTCTGGTAGCCTAATCTACATGCCTCTGGCGACAGAGGCATGTAGTCTAGACGTACCCTTAGTTCGAATTAACTTTGTAGTGTAGACATACCCTCAGAAAAGAGGAGACTAGGGGAGATACTATAGAGGTCGATAAAATCATGACTGGTGTGGAAAAAGTGAATAAGGAAAAGTTATTTATTTGTTTCCATAACATAAGAACTAGGAGTCACTAAATGAAATTAATAGGTAGCAGGTTTTAAAAAACAAAACAAAGTTTTTTTCATTTAGCACTTGGTCTGCCTGTGGGACTCCTTGCTAGAGGAGGTTGTGAAGACCAGGACACTAACAGGGTTCAAGAAAGAACTAGGTAATTTCATGGAGGTTAGGTCCATCAATGGCTATTAGCCAGGATGGGTAGGAATGGTGTTCCTAGCCTCTGTCAGAGGCTGAGAGTGGGTGACAGGAGAGGGATTTCTTGATGATTCCCTGTTCTGTTCACTCCCTCTGTGGCCACTGTCAGAAGACAGGATACTGGGCTAGATGGACCTTTGGTCTGGCCACTCTTATGTTCTTATGCACCTTTCCTGACACTTCCATGTTGATGTCAATGAAGTGGTCCTTGCAATCCACAAGCACCTGCACCACCATGGATAAGTACCTTTTCTGGTTGATATATTCTAAGATACAGTGTTCAGGGGTCAAGATGGAGATTTGTGTGCCATCCATGGCATCACCATAGTTAGGGAAGCCCTTGGCAGCAAAACCCTCCATTATGATGTCCATGTTCCCCAGAATCACAACCCTCTGTAGCAGGATTTTATTGATGGCCTTGACTATTTGTATTAGACGAGCCCCGACTATAGATGTCCCCATCCCGAACTGATTCTAAACTGTCAGGCCTGGCAAGCTTACATACAGCAATTACCAAGTGCTTCTCCATGGTCAGAGCAGGTCTCATGTGGGTATCCTGGCACCTCAGGACAGGAGAAAGCCATTTGCAAAGTTTCAAGAAAGTAGCCTCTCTCATTTGGAAGTTCTGCAGCCTGTTTCTTCTCTGCCTCACAATGTGGTCCACCAATCTCATGGCAGGAGAACTGGTGCTCCATTGGTTCCAGAGGATTGACTGGGGAGTATGCTAGCATGAGGCCTTGCCAGAACTGGGCTTCCATGCCACACTGAGCTTCCTCCTCATCCTCTTCGAGTAACAGGCATATGTTCTTGAAGTACAGTGCCATAAGGCATACCGTGACATCCATGAGCATGATGATGCTTTCCTACACACTGGACTCCATGCTTACAGTGCTCTGGCATCCATGTGGGCAACCAGTGCATAAAAAGGCATGAACAAAACATACTGCATCTCCTTTAACCCATGTGAGGGGGAAGGGACTTGAGAAGTGCCTTATGGGATGCATTTGATATAAGTCCCTCTAACCAACTGCAGCAGAGTTTTGGACCCAGTGGGCACTGAAAACATAGCCCAGACTGAAAAGCTGCTCACAATGCCTTGTTCTCTGAGTCAATGGTAGGCTCCCTAATGGGGAGACAACATTTTTCTCCGTAATGAAAACATGGACCTTCGACTTCGCAGAATCAGGTGTCCAGACGTTGACTGTAATAGAGTTGATCTTATCTTGTAGTGTAGAAGTGCCTTTAGTGTATTTGTCATTGATTTCATTTTGTATCAATTAAACCTTGTTCATAAAGCTAATACTTATAGTTACACAGACACACACAACTGATAGTAGCTTTGGTTTAAATGCCTCCTTTTTTACAGCTACAAAGTATACAAAAAAGCATTTTGTTTCTCTTGTCTTTTTAATTTTAATATTTAAAAATCAAGAAGGGGCAGATAGAGATTAAGATGGAAAACTGTATAACCCTCCATATACTTGACCCCTTAAAATGTCCACTCTTTTACATATGCCCTTTTACAGCTTTGAGCGAAAGACATGCTTGACTCTTGTGTATCTCTAGCATTACAAATAAAGAAATGTGATATAGTACACTGAAACTAATACAGTACTGAATTTAGTTAAATAAAATAAAAATGTGTTCAGAAATATGTTAGCTCAAAATATGTAGTTGCACCAATTCATAATGTGAAAGAATCAGAACAAAAAGTAGTCCTATTGGATTCTGGGAGGGGGTGGGAATTAGCCTACATCTAAAGGACTTTCCCCTGACCTACGGGGATAAGCCACAGAGCCCAGGATGCCAAATGTTTACTGGGGGCAAATAGAGAAAAAACAGGGATTGGTGTAGAGGTCATAGGGTCAAAACGAGGGAGCTGGATGGGGACACCAAGCCTCTCGAGAAGGTCTTGATAAGTCAGTTGATGCTGCCTAGTGGAACTCTGCCCAGATACTGGAGCGCAAATAGGCCCCACAGTCACAGGCCCATCCCTCAGCCAACATCTGCTCCCTGGTCTTGTAAAATGCCATCTTGACTATAGCCAGAAGGGGGTGGAGGAGCTACAGATGGGGTGTGCATAAATTAATAGGTGAGAGGAACCAGAAGCTGGGCTGTAACTTGGCACACTTGAGATAAGTGTGCGCCAGGGTCTTCCTTATGCTACAGAAGGGGCAAGTGTTGGGAACAGGGGTGAACCGCACCAAGTACAGACTCATGCTCACAGCGCCATGAAGGCAGGCTATGGAACCAAGGTGGAGTAGAGGCTGGCCCATTGGGACTCCCCACTCTCTATTGGTGGTAGGAAGTCCCACCACTTGATATTTAGGTGGGACACGAGGGTGGGGAAGTGAAGAGTGTTAAGCACGAGCATGTACAGATGACCCTTTGGCACGGTTCGAAAGGGAACTGAATGCAATGCGTGCAGCTGGCTTGGATGATGAGGGAAAGGTAGTCAAAAAGGTATGCAGGGCTGGAGGCTGATGGAGAGATCAAAAGGGCCCGGGGTGAGGAGTGGGTGAGGTGTGCCGAGGAGTACATAAGGTAGAGAGCCCCATGTGCTGGGCAAGCGCTGGAGGATCCACCCAGTTTCTCTGGTCGTAGTCCAGGACGTCTCTGATAGGATCCACCCAGTTTCTCTGGTCGTAGTCCAGGACGTTTCTGATACTGGTGACTTCTGCCAGAACCAACCTCTGGTGCACCGAGGGGGACTCCACTGCCTGCACACAAAAATGGGGATTGTGTAGCGGGGATTCTGTGGGGAGGTCTACCTCCACAGTGGCTCAACAGAAGACCATTATATTGATTACTTTTTTGTTTTGGCTCCGACCTGCGGGCAGCAAACAAACGGGTCATAGGCCATGTGTTGAGTAGCCCTGCGTTAGCCAGAACTATTTGTTAATTATAACAAAATTTCTAGCTTATGAGTTTTCACTTCAAGTATAATTTGCTTGTGAGCTTTCTGGAAGAGCTGCAAAGTGTATGTACCAAAGAAGTTGTAAAATGAGTAGTTAAGCTATAATGGAGCACTCTGAATTTTTTTTTCAAATTTAATCTCTAAATTGTCACTTTCATTCCTGTTTCATTACCAATATTTCACACACAGTTCAAGACATTTAGAAGTCCACTTAAAATGTCCATTATATCAGAGAAGGGATGTTCACTCATTGGAGCAAGTCCAGCGGAGGACAACAAAAACGATTAGGGGCTGGAGCACATGATTTATGAGGAGAGGCTGAGGGATTGGGTCTTATGTAGTATATAGAAGAGAAGAGTGAGATAGGATTTGAGTAGTTTGGTTTTGTGTTGGTTTTTCTGGTTTTTTATCTTTTTTTCCCCATGGAGCTGGAACTGTCCCTGGGCAGGTGATGACTCCACACTGCCATGCTGCAAATTCTCCTGTGCCTCGATGACACCATCATGATGCTCCTGTCCCATCTGGACTCAGCACCCAGCCTTGAGCCTCTCACCCAAGGTGTAGCATCAATGGCCTTCCCACTGAACTTCCCTGTGGAAAGGTGATTTTGGAGACTGGACACCAGTTCTGACTGGTGGGACTATCTCATAATGGAGTAGTGGGACGACCAGCATTGGCTCTGAAACTTCCGTATGCAGAAGGCTGCATTCCAGGAGCTGTGTGCCTGGCTTGCTCCTGCCCTACAATGACAGGGCACTCACTTGCAGCCTGCCATCCCCCTGGAGAAGCAGGTCACTATTGCCCTGTGGAAGCTGGCAACCCCTGACAACTACTGCTTGGTGGGACACCAATTTGGTGTGGGGAGGTCTACTGTGGGGGACTACTTGATGGAGGTAAGTTGCTCTTGGGGGACAGTCCATACAGGGTGGGGGGCTCAAAAATGGGGACTGTCAGGAAAGGGCAGATGGAGTGGGGGATGGAGTGGGAATGGAGGGGATGCTCTTGGGCTCACCCTTCCCTTCTGCTGGGAGGGACACCTGGGATCTTTGGGGGAATGGTGGGGGGAACCTCCCAAGGGCTAAGGTACTCCCTTTAATTTCCTGTTTTGTGTGTTTTATTTGTGTCTCTCTGCAGAGATTAGGATTAGGAAGCCTAACCCAAACTAGCTAGTTCGTGCCGCATGTAGCCGCGCGGCACGGGGTCCGAACTAGCCAGCATTTAAAAATGGCGCCGGCCGGCTTCATGCAAATGAAGCCCGGGAAATTCAAATCCCGGGCTCCATTTGCAACTCCGTATGACTACATTACCCCCCCAGTTCGAACTAGGGGGGTAGTGTAGACATACCCCTAGTGTGTGGCCATCGCCCTGTGAAAGCTCTCCACGCCGGATAGCTACCAATCTGTCAGGAACCAGTTCGGCATGGGGAAATCCACTGTTGGAGCAGTGCTCATGCAGGTACGTCACTCACTGGCCACTGTTCCAGGGGGAGGGTATAGGGTCTGCAAAGAGGGGATGGGCTGCTCCAGGGAATACGGGGGGGAGGAGGCAAAAGTGCCCTGCACGGGAGGGTTCGGTCTGTCCCAGCCATACTACACATCACCCGCGGTGACCAGGATTGTAGCGGGGGTTGCTACTGGGAGTGGGGCAGTGCCAGGAAATGAACACTCCCAGCCACCCGGGCACCCCAGTGATTCTCGGTTTTCTGTGTCTCTGTGCAGGTGGTCAAGGCCATCAATGGGGGACTGCTCCACAGGGTGGTCTGCCTCACAGACCTGGACACGGTCATCCAGGGGTTCAGCACCCAGGGCTTCCTCAACTGCAGGGGGGAGATCGACGGGACGCACATTCCCATCCATGCCCCAGAAGGGCTACTTCTCAGTGATCCTGCAGACCGTGTCTGACCAGTGGGGCCAGTTCACAGAAATTAATGTGGGTTGGTCCGGCAAGGCACATGACACACAGGTGTTCCGCAACTCCTCCATGTGCCAGAGGCTGCACACCAGGACCTTCTTCCTCGACCACCATATCAGGGTCAGGGACATGGACATGCCCGTCTGTCTGGTGGGGGATGTGGCCTACCCCCTACAGCCCTGGCTGATGAAGCCATACACGGAGCACCTCAACCCCTCCTGGCAGACCTTCAATGCCAGGCTCACTAGAGCCAGCATCAAGGTGGAGGGGGCCTTTAGACACCTGAAAGCACGCTTCAGATGCCTCCTTACCCTCCTTGACCTCGCTGAGCACAATATCCCTCCCATGGTGGCAGCATGTTGTGTGCTGCGCAATTTATGCGAGAGGAAGGGGGATGCTTTCCTGCCAGCCTGGATGGCTGAGGTGGAACACTTGGCTGGCCATGTATGCACAGCCTCACACCAATGCCATCTGGGAGGCCCAGCGGGAGAGCTTCCAGGTGGAGGAGGACTGAAGTTTCCCTGGCATACCCCACTGGGGCCTTCTTCTACTCTCACCTCCTTCCCCTTTCCCCTCCCTAACTCCCTTCCTAATGTAAAATAAAAACACCTGTTTTCTCTTTCATTTCACAGAACTGAGGTGGGGGAAGGGAGGAATGAGGGTGTTAGAGGGGAGGGGGAAACCTGGGAGGAGGGAGCTGGAAGGGGGAGGCAAGGGGAGGAAGGAAAGGGAAAGCTCAGAGTTCGGGGTCTTGCACGCTCTCCCGTCTCGCAGCACTGTGGATGCAGAGGTGTCGGGGGGAGTGGGTGTGGAGGGTGGGGCAGGAGAGATGGGGGGGGGGAGGGAACGGGAGGGGGAGCAGAGGGGGGGGGAGG